ACCCCACAGGCTAATTGGTGACCTCAGATGACCCCAAACCCCCAAAATTGAGGAGGGGTGACCTCGGATGACCCCACAGGCTAATTGGTGACCTCAGATGACCCCAGGACCCCAAAAAATTAGCAGCGGTGGACCTCGGATGACCCACAGGCTAATTGGTGACCTCAGATGACCCCAAAACCCCAAATTGAGGAGCGGTGACCTCGGATGACCCCACAGGCTAATTGGTGACCTCAGATGACCCCAAACCCCCAAAATTGAGGAGCGGTGACCTCGGATGACCCCACAGGCTAATTGGTGACCTCAGATGACCCCAAAACCCCAAAAAATTAGCAGCGGTGACCTCGGATGACCCCACAGGCTAATTGGTGACCTCAGATGACCCCAAAACCCCCAAAATTGAGGAGCGGTGACCTCAGATGACCCCACAGGCTAATTGGTGACCTCAGATGACCCCAGGACCCCAAAAAATTAGCAGCGGTGACCTCGGATGACCCCACAGGCTAATTGGTGACCTCAGATGACCCCAGGACCCCAAAAAATTAGCAGCGGTGACCTCGGATGACCCCACAGGCTAATTGGTGACCTCAGATGACCCCAGGACCCCAAAAAATTAGCAGCGGTGACCTCGGATGACCCCACAGGCTAATTGGTGACCTCAGATGACCCCAGGACCCCAAAAAATTAGCAGCGGTGACCTCGGATGACCCCACAGGCTAATTGGTGACCTCAGATGACCCCAGGACCCCAAAAATTAGCAGCGGTGACCTCGATGACCCCACAGGCTAATTGGTGACCTCAGATGACCCCAACCCCAAAATTGAGGAGCGGTGACCTCGGATGACCCCACAGGCTAATTGGTGACCTCAGATGACCCCAGGACCCCAAAAAATTAGCAGCGGTGACCTCGGATGACCCCACAGGCTAATTGGTGACCTCAGATGACCCCAGGACCCCCAAAAATTAGGCAGCGGTGACCTCGGATGACCCCACAGGCTAATTGGTGACCTCAGATGACCCCAGGACCCCAAAAAATTAGCAGCGGTGACCTCGGATGACCCCACAGGCTAATTGGTGACCTCAGATGACCCCAGGACCCCAAAAATTAGCAGCGGTGACCTCGGATGACCCCACAGGCTAATTGGTGACCTCAGATGACCCCAGGACCCCAAAAAATTAGCAGCGGTGACCTCGGATGACCCCACAGGCTAATTGGTGACCTCAGATGACCCCAGGACCCCAAAAAATTAGCAGCGGTGACCTCGGATGACCCCACAGGCTAATTGGTGACCTCAGATGACCCCAGGAACCCCCAAAAATTGAGGCAGCGGTGACCTCGGATGACCCCACAGGCTAATTGGTGACCTCAGATGACCCCAGGACCCCAAAAAATTAGCAGCGGTGACCTCGGATGACCCCACAGGCTAATTGGTGACCTCAGATGACCCCAGGACCCCAAAAAATTAGCAGCGGTGACCTCGGATGACCCCACAGGCTAATTGGTGACCTCAGATGACCCCAGGAACCCCCAAAAAATTAGCAGCGGTGACCTCGGATGACCCCACAGGCTAATTGGTGACCTCAGATGACCCCAGGACCCCAAAAAATTAGCAGCGGTGACCTCGGATGACCCCACAGGCTAATTGGTGACCTCAGATGACCCCAGGACCCCAAAAAATTAGCAGCGGTGACCTCGGATGACCCCACAGGCTAATTGGTGACCTCAGATGACCCCAGGACCCCCAAAAATTAGCAGCGGTGACCTCGGATGACCCCACAGGCTAATTGGTGACCTCAGATGACCCCAGGACCCCCAAAAATTAGCAGCGGTGACCTCGGATGACCCCACAGGCTAATTGGTGACCTCAGATGACCCCAAGGACCCCAAAAATTAGCAGCGGTGACCTCGGATGACCCCACAGGCTAATTGGTGACCTCAGATGACCCCAGGACCCCAAAAAATTAGCAGCGGTGACCTCGGATGACCCCACAGGCTAATTGGTGACCTCAGATGACCCCAGGACCCCAAAAAATTAGCAGCGGTGACCTCGGATGACCCCACAGGCTAATTGGTGACCTCAGATGACCCCAAAACCCCCAAAATTGAGCGAGCGGTGACCTCGGATGACCCCACAGGCTAATTGGTGACCTCAGATGACCCCAGGAACCCCCAAAAATTAGCAGCGGTGACCTCGGATGACCCCACAGGCTAATTGGTGACCTCAGATGACCCCAGGACCCCAAAAAATTAGCAGCGGTGACCTCGGATGACCCCACAGGCTAATTGGTGACCTCAGATGACCCCAGGACCCCAAAAATTAGCAGCGGTGACCTCGGATGACCCACAGCCTAATTGGTGACCTCAGATGACCCCAGGACCCCCAAAAAATTAGCAGCGGTGACCTCGGATGACCCCCACAGCCTAATGGTGACCTCAGATGACCCCAGGACCCCAAAAAATTAGCAGCGGTGACCTCGGATGACCCCACAGCCTAATTGGTGACCTCAGATGACCCCAGGACCCCAAAAAATTAGCAGCGGTGACCTCAGATGACCCCACAGGCTAATTGGTGACCTCAGATGACCCCAGGACCCCAAAAAATAGCAGCGGTGACCTCGGATGACCCCACAGCTAATTGGTGACCTCAGATGACCCCAGGACCCCAAAAAATTAGCAGCGGTGACCTCGGATGACCCCACAGGCTAATTGGTGACCTCAGATGACCCCAGGACCCCAAAAAATTAGCAGCGGTGACCTCGGATGACCCCACAGGCTAATTGGTGACCTCAGATGACCCCAGGAACCCCAAAAATTGAGGAGCGGTGACCTCGGATGACCCCACAGGCTAATTGGTGACCTCAGATGACCCCAAAACCCCAAAAATTGAGGAGCGGTGACCTCGGATGACCCCACAGGCTAATTGGTGACCTCAGATGACCCCAGGACCCCAAAAAATTAGCAGCGGTGACCTCGGATGACCCCACAGGCTAATTGGTGACCTCAGATGACCCCAGGACCCCAAAAAATTAGCAGCGGTGACCTCGGATGACCCCACAGGCTAATTGGTGACCTCAGATGACCCCAGGACCCCAAAAAATTAGCAGCGGTGACCTCGGATGACCCCACAGGCTAATTGATGACCTCAGATGACCCCAGGACCCCAAAAAATTAGCAGCGGTGACCTCGGATGACCCCACAGGCTAATTGGTGACCTCAGATGACCCCAGGACCCCAAAAAATTAGCAGCGGTGACCTCGGATGACCCCACAGCCTAATTGGTGACCTCAGATGACCCCAGGACCCCAAAAAATTAGCAGCGGTGACCTCGGATGACCCCACAGCCTAATTGGTGACCTCAGATGACCCCAGGACCCCAAAAAATTAGCAGCGGTGACCTCGGATGACCCCACAGGCTAATTGGTGACCTCAGATGACCCCAGGACCCCAAAAAATTAGCAGCGGTGACCTCGGATGACCCCACAGGCTAATTGGTGACCTCAGATGACCCCAGGACCCCAAAAAATTAGCAGCGGTGACCTCGGATGACCCCACAGGCTAATTGGTGACCTCAGATGACCCCAGGACCCCAAAAATTAGCAGCGGTGACCTCGGATGACCCCACAGGCTAATTGGTGACCTCAGATGACCCCAGGACCCCAAAAAATTAGCAGCGGTGACCTCGGATGACCCCACAGCCTAATTGGTGACCTCAGATGACCCCAGGACCCCAAAAAATTAGCAGCGGTGACCTCGGATGACCCCACAGGCTAATTGGTGACCTCAGATGACCCCAGGACCCCAAAAAATTAGCAGCGGTGACCTCGGATGACCCCACAGGCTAATTGGTGACCTCAGATGACCCCAGGACCCCAAAAAATTAGCAGCGGTGACCTCGGATGACCCCACAGGCTAATTGGTGACCTCAGATGACCCCAGGACCCCAAAAAATTAGCAGCGGTGACCTCGGATGACCCCACAGGCTAATTGGTGACCTCAGATGACCCCAGGACCCCAAAAAATTAGCAGCGGTGACCTCGGATGACCCCACAGCCTAATTGGTGACCTCAGATGACCCCAGGACCCCAAAAATTGAGGAGCGGTGACCTCGGATGACCCCACAGGCTAATTGGTGACCTCAGATGACCCCAGGACCCCAAAAATTGAGGAGCGGTGACCTCAGATGACCCCACAGGCTAATTGGTGACCTCAGATGACCCCAGGACCCCAAAAAATTAGCAGCGGTGACCTCGGATGACCCCACAGGCTAATTGGTGACCTCAGATGACCCCAGGACCCCAAAAAATTAGCAGCGGTGACCTCGGATGACCCCACAGGCTAATTGGTGACCTCAGATGACCCCAGGACCCCAAAAAATTAGCAGCGGTGACCTCGGATGACCCCACAGCCTAATTGGTGACCTCAGATGACCCCAGGACCCCAAAAAATTAGCAGCGGTGACCTCGGATGACCCCACAGGCTAATTGGTGACCTCAGATGACCCCAGGACCCCAAAAAATTAGCAGCGGTGACCTCGGATGACCCCACAGCCTAATTGGTGACCTCAGATGACCCCAGGACCCCAAAAAAATTAGCAGCGGTGACCTCGGATGACCCCACAGGCTAATTGGTGACCTCAGATGACCCCAGGACCCCCAAAATTGAGGAGCGGTGACCTGAAGTGTTTGGTTTACTTGGAGTTTCTACTCTGTGGTGTTTATCATCTGTGATCACTCCACCTGTTGTGGTCACCTGCGGCCTGCTCTACAGTGCAGAGGTCTCCAGGGTCATTTCAGATTTTTTTTGCTCTTGTTCTTTTTTAAAGGTGTTGGGCTGGGATGAAACCAATTTAAGATTGTGTTTTCCATCGTCAGCTTTTACACTGTAGCTGAATGAAGCTTTCAGGCAAGATCTTTTGAGTGTAGCATTTAATGAGTAAGAAATGATACTTGCATGAATCTTACCTGATGATTCTTTCCAAAGAAAGTACAAAATAACTGAGTTAAGGTCAAAAATGGATAACAGGCACCAGCACATTTTTATTTCATGAAGGAGTAACAAGAGGCTGCTTGTTTTACCAAAAAAATTATTGTGAGGTACATATAAAACACCTTCCATCTGCACAACCTCCTTACATTGCAGAGTCTATGAAGCTTTTGCAGAGATCAGCCCCTTAACGATGTTGATTTCATCCAGTCCTTCAGCAGCAGACTGCAGGTCTCTCACAGCTGCACCCATCTTCTCCTTGTGTGTTGATTGAGTCCATTCAGCTTCCCTTGTGTCAGCATTCACCTCTTGGGTTTGGTTAATAAAGACTGTTACTGTTTGCTCACCTCAAGCCAAGCAGGAAACGATCTGCTCTGTAATTATCTTGGTGACACCGCATTAAAATACAAGACAAATAAGATTTCAGGCTAAGCCCTGCTTAGATGAAAAGTGCATCATACCCAGCTGGGCCATATTACTCCCGAATGCAACACTGCACATGTGTTTGTCATCTAATCAGCTCAGATTAGCAAATTGACCAGCTCACAGGGCAAAGGCACCTTACTCACTAACAGTTGCCTTAAGGAGGAAACCAGAAGGGAATACATTTCCTGATATTAATGCATATTGCTGGAGGAGCAGCAACATCTGCTTAGAGGCTCTGTGCCTTTCACAAGCAGCTGGGCCCCCTGAGGGAGACCCCTGTGAGTTCTTTAAAGTGGGATTCATCATTGCTTCAAGTATTTTAAGATATACTGCACCAGCTCTCATTAAAAATAAATAAATAAATAATTTTTTTAAAAAAAAAAGGAGAAAGAAAACTGGATGGAAAAACAAAAATAAAAAAATTTAAATTATTCCAAGAGGGGAGGAGAGAGACTGGTTACAAGGAAGAACAATGAGACAATGCACAAGCCAAATGTTCATTTCCAAACACCCAGGCATTTAACAGTACTATCTGAAGCCAAAAGAGCTCTGTTTCCAGCTTCTCCCTCCTTGCTCTACTGCGAGCCATGTCCTGATTAAGAATTATTCATAGCACAGGGAACAAAAAACGCAGAAGCCCAGAATGACCCAGTTTCTATTCAGGTACCAAAATACAGATACTTTCATTCTGTGTGAACGTGTAGAGAAAATACAGAACAAGCCCATCAGCATCCAGCAAACCCTCAGGGGTCCTGGGTGTGTGTGTGTGGGGGTGTCCTGTGGGGCAGGGAGGCTGGAGCAGCAGCGGGCACCCACCGGGCAAGAAATCCAGAGCTGGGACAGCGACCAGGGCTGGCCAGGGCCCTGAGGCCTCCAGACCCAGGTGCAGTGGGGAGCAGGGCTGAGGCCCAGCTGGGAGCCAAGGCAGGGATGAGGACATGCAGCCAGCCGAGCACAGGCACTGCACGGCTCAGGTGGAAGGGCAAACGCTGGGGCACAAATGCAGGGTCCAGCCAGGGGCAGAGGGTGCCACCCCCAGACACGGCTGCTTGGGGCAATCGGAGCCTCTTGGGGCACCTAGGGTCCTGATGCATCCCGAAAATAGTGCCTTATGCATAAATATGCATAAGTGATACAGAACATGGTCTTTCCTCTATCAAAATTAGCATAAACCAGGCACAACCTTAATAAAGACAATAAACAGTGTTGCAGCATTTTCAGGGTGCATATTAGAGAATGAGTAGATCCCTAAATGGTAGCATGCTTGCAATGCCCTACCATGAACGGTACCACAGGTCACATCCTACTCCCTTCAAACCAACAGCAGAACACATACCAACAGCACTGCAGCTGGTACGTGGCCATTTCAGAAAACACCATCAGCTTCGAGTTTTGGGTTCAGTCTCTATTCTGTGTTTAATAGGCCTGCTCATCCTGTTGGAAAAAATAATAATCTGCTGTAACTCCAACAAAACCAGTGGTCAGAGCAGAGCATCAGGTGGTGGTGATGAGCTTTATGAATTTGCCATACACTTATTGAGAAAGCAATGTCCAGGAAAGTGAAATACCAGGTCCCCAGCTAAACTGTGGGCAAATGAGGTAATACCAATGGTGTCAGTTTGGTTGAACAAAGAAATGTTGTTTGGGCCTTTATTTAATAGTTTAGTTACATAACAGACTGCTTCTCAATACCATTTTAAATAGACATTACCACTAGAGTTAATAAATTTAATGGCATTTTTATCCTCCAGCAACAGTATTATTTATCCTTAAAATATAAATGTTCTGTTTTTCTCTGACATCTCACATTTGTTTTTTCTAGAACCTGGCAATAAAATGTCTGGGAGAACCATGTACTTGTGAAAGGATGGAGCTGCAGATGAACACCTACCTGGTAGCAGGGAACAAGAAGCCATGCTGAGCTCCCAGCTGACAGTGCCTGTCAGTCTGCAAAAATGCTGTAAAATCCATAGAATCTAGAGAAGTCTCATCTTACCAAAATTTAATGGTTTGGTAATCCTAGTTGCTCCTCAGAGACTCTGGGTTTAGGCTGTATAAATATCTCAGCTTGCAGGATCTGGGGCTAAGATGAATTCCTCTGAAAAAAAAAAACATGGAAGTTGCAAGGGTGAAGGAAGAAACCTGAAATAAACAGCGGCAGAAGAGACATCGATAAGCAAGTTCAGTGGGAATTTTCAGTGTTGCTCTGTTTCCTACAAGTAACATAGCCATGTGAATGGAAGAACATTTCTTGAAGAAGTGGAGCATAACTTTCTTATTTAAAAGTATTGATGAACTGAAGTGGCAATATTCAAACCAGATTTTTCTCCTAGTGAGCAATTAATTACCAGCTGCCTCCTCAGAAAGAAGCGAAAGAGAGCTGATGCTGTCCCTGCATCCCTAGCTTGTTCCCTTCTTTGTGGGGCTATGGCCTCGGTGTGGTCCTAGAGCACACCAAAAGCTGCCCTGGACTCTGCCACCTTGTAACAGTTCCCAGAGGATGAGAATCGGTGATGACAACACCCATGTCCTTTCCTGCCTTGATACGACTTCAGAAGTTTCTTATGCATGTGGGATGCCTTTCAGATCTATCAGCACTATTGTAAGAAGTGGAAAATTCAGGCACACCATGGCATCTCCAACTAGAAAAACAGCTAGTTATCCTTCCCTGCTACCCCTGCGTCAGTAAAGCCACTACTCAAGCTTCAGTGTTTAGAGTAGTTTTTGCTACCCTTTGAATAGTTTGTTGAGAGCCAGGAGTTATTAAAGGATAAAATGAAATAAATGTGACATCAGCAGCTAAAGATTCAAACATCAGAGAGTGAATTTTACAAACTACTGAATGATGTTAAAAATAGTGACGTGGTTGGTTTCATAGCAGAAAACCTTTCTGACAAAAAATGTATCGATATATAGGATTAATTTCCAGAGGAAATGTCAGCAGCCCATTGAACAGTCAAACATAGACTTAGGGAAACATGAGAAATTCAGTGCAAGATGGAGGAAATACTTCTGAGATGACTTTCACTAAGTGTGTGCCATTTCTAACTTCAGTTAATGCTGAGTGCCATGGGAGTATAACTTCTGAGCAAGTTGTAATTAGAAAGCAAGGCAGGCCTCAGAAATTACTCTTATTTCAGCAGTTTCTAAGGGCACTTTTAATTGGCATTATTCAAATGCAAATGCCCCCAGATACGAGTAAGGATGTAGTCTTAAACTCTAAATTATTCCTAAATTATTCCAAGTTTCTCAGTGAGAGATTCTGTCAGTATGGGTTAGTTATCTCCTGCTGACCATTTAAAATAATAATAGCAACTTTGGTAAATTCTGAGCTAAGCTTTCTTGAAACTGATTTGCAGCAAAAAAGAGAGGAGGGAGTCAGCGAATCATCAGCAGAAAGACTGTTGGTAGGCAAAGCTTCAACACGTTCAGAAGATTGTGAGCACAGAGATATAAGTGTGTGTATCAATAAACACCTCCAAGAGAACCAACGAACACCCTTAGGGTTGGTGGTCTGGCTGGAGAAGGGGTTTGCAGACACAAGCAGACAGCTGTTGTTGGATCCCTCTCACATTTGAAACTGCCTGTCCTTGTGACTGAATATAATTCATCAAAGATGTCTAGCACTATCACCACTTGCTACGTTTAATCAAAATAGAGCATCCTCCCATTAGTCACTCATATCAAAAGGATAATAATACTTAAAAGAATTTTCCAGAGAGCTCTATTACTTAGATAGCTCTTAATATGACTGTTATGTTGGTTATTGCATCACAACATAGGATGCAATGACTTTGAGCAATGACTTTCTCTTATCTTATATTTGTGAAGCAAAATTGTTTCCTGATGTAAATTAGCAGCAGCGGGTTGTATGAAGCACAAAACCAATGTATGCTAGTAAAGTATTTATTTTATTAAGCTAAACAGACTCTGCCAGATGCATTCAATGACTAATACAACCCAGTGAGGATTTAAAAAAAAATGAAAAAAGAAAAAGTAAAAGTAAAAGTAAAAGCCCTTGTCTCCTAATCAGCTCAGTTTGGCAGTACTGAGGTTTCACCCTGGGTAGTAATACATACCACTGGAATGTGTCATTTCACAGAGAGATGTTGTAGAGGAAGCCAAAGAGGTGCGAGGCAGGCAGGACCTGTTATAATTCATACTTCATTGAAATTTAATTTGCAGATTGGCTGGTGTTTTCCAATTATCTGAAAATTGTCACATACTAAGTAGCAGCAGAACACACAGTACGTTACAAATAGTGTGCACCAACAAAGAACATATGCCTGTTTGTATTTCAGTACAAATCCAAACCTCTAACAGCTTGAAACAAAGCCCCCTTTGTGGCTTCATGGGCTGTAGATAAAGTTATTATGCTCTCAAAGCATGTTTTGAAATTTCCGACAGAGAGGAATTGGCATTGTCAGACTCGCTTGGGCCATCAAGTAAAAGTGAAGGCCGTACTTCTCCTGCTTTAGGCATTTATCAGCACAACGGGGTCACAAGGTCTGAGATGCAGCTCTTTTCCCTTAATTTGTTTTTCCTTTCGCCTTGGGATAAGCTCCCTTTTGAACACTGTTTGTTCCAGACAGGATCTCTGAAGCAAACTGCAAACAGAGCAGCCACCTGCAACAACTTTGTGCTATCTTAATATAGCACCGACAGCACAGGAGTTACAGCTCATCTATCCTTCTGAAGGCTGAAGAAACAGCTAAAACTTACAGGAAAAAAATGTTCAGCCTTTACATTAGGTTTTGGCAGCATTTTTAAGTAATCTCTGAATTTCTAAATAATAATAATAACAAAATGCAATGTTTTAAATGCTCAGTTCATACAGACTTCCAACTCCCTGGCCCCACTCCCCATCCTGTAGCTTACAAATCCTGCGGCTGGAAGTCACATCTATTCACAAAAGCTGCACCTTCCATGACCGGGATGCCTCTGTCTTATTTTTCATGGGAAAGCTTCTGCACTTGCAGAACACAGTCTGGGTCTCCCTCCAAGTCCCCCTTTCCCAAAGATGCTGCTTTGCTCTACCCTGTTAGCCACCATAAATGTCTCTTGCAGAAAAATGTGAATTTGATTACAATGCATCACAAAGACCTAGGAATATGAGTCAGTATGGTTCATCCCACTGCATCCAGCATCTCACAATGAAAATGACAAGGGGAATCACAACAGTGACCTTATTTTGGGCTCCAGAGTAAAAATAAATAAATAAAATTCTATGTTTCAAGTAAATGAGGGCTGAACTTCAGGTTTAACTCATCAGTGAGGTAATCACTACAAGCAAATATTGTTTTCAGGTCCAGACCTAAGCATCTCCAAAATACATGAATTTGTTATTTGGGTTCAGATATGCTTTCTCATGATTACTTGTGCATTGTAAATGTAAAGGATTACAAAATAATGTAATAAATAGGCACCTATGAGGTAGGTGTTTATTCTCAGTAGTCTCCCTGTAATGAGATGCCGTGCTCTTACTTCAAGGTCAACTGTTTGGTTCAGTGGTGTCAAGTGCCTTAGGAATGCCACCAACTAGGCACATTTATCAATAAAAATCAGGCAGTTGTACTGAGCAGTTTTTACGGTAGCTCTTCCAGAAAGCAAAGTTAACAGGGTGGCAATGGCGCCTGTATTCACGTCCCCCACCCATTTAAAAGATAACTACATTTCTACTTCACCACATTTAAAATACAAATGAATTTCAGATATTAGATTGAAATCCATGCACAATTATGAAAAAAATATGAGCCAAATGTCGTTATCACTATATTAGAAAACTGGAGTATCATTGCTTTGGTAACACAGCAGAAATGGACCTGTAATTGACACAGGACAGATAGCTGGAAAGGAAAATAATGAAGCTGCCCAGGGTGAATTTGAAGCAGCAAACTCTTTTAACTAAAGACAAAATAATTGGAAAGTTTTAGCTGAGAAATAATGGGAAAATGAACAGAAGCCTACCATAGAAATAGTTTGTGTAGGCTTAGATAAAAAATAGAGCAATTGAGACTTGAAGACAGCATTGGCAGTGATTATAAAAGTACATACAGAAAATTAGAGAAAATGACAAAATGTTATGCATAGATGCCGCCCTCTTTCAAGTCATCATTTTCTATAGAGTTGTTCAGAAACTCAAGTGCAAGTTGGGAAAAGGGGTGAAGAAATGAGACCGCACCATTTCAGAGGCAATTTTCCTTTACTGAAGAGTAAATCATCTCCAGATTGATGCTTTCCTGTGGTGCTGGGGTGCATAACCAGTTATCTGCACCATTCTGTTTCTTTGTTTGCCAGACCTTGGATGGAAATACAGGCACAAAGTCTGCACACGTGCATCACCACCGCTAAGCATGTGCATGACAAGTCACCAAGCACTGGACTTAGCACCCATACATAACAATGCTACTTGGTACCAAATGTGCATCGAGTACATTTTGCAGCCCAATCCTGATGGGCTTGTTGCATTGGTGCAGTTCAATGGAGCAGCTGATCTGGGTATAGGGATTGGCATTTCTCTCCAATCCTCAGTTAAAACTACTGTCTCCAGGAAGCTGCCAAGCAATCCGAAGGATTAGTTACATCACTAAATTAATCTTTTCTCTCTCTCTTTTTTTTTTTTTTTTTTCTTTTTTTTCCTCCTGGACACATTTCTGAGAAAGTAAGAGTACACCTCTGGGACAATATGTATGGCGTCTCTAAGCCTGTTACTGGGACCTGTAGGATTCACTCACACTGTCACCACTGTTATTTTGCTTATCACACCTCAGTCTTTCAGCCTCTTAAATCGTTGAAACAAACCAGAAAAAGCAGTAGAATCACGTAAGCAAAATAATGTTCTGTGCTCCACAGCAATTTTGCAAACTGTTTGCACAGATTTCAATGCCAAAACTGCATGAACGTTATAACTAAGGTGCCTTGGCAACAGTCCCACTTGTTAATAGGGTGGTTTGGTCATAGACCTCGTGCTTGGATCAGCATCATCACCCAATCTGTGACTTGACTGGGATGCAGAGTTGATTTCATTCTCCCTACAAGCATTCCTTATTCAAGAGTAAACTATCACCTGATGTAAGAGAAAACAGCCTCAGATTCCCT